TACTAGGACAGCAAAGGAAGAGGAAAATAATGAGAATAATACTAATAAAAGAATATACAAAACAGGTGATACACAATGAAATTTCCTCACCACCTGGAACCCAATGCCCAGCCTGTCGCTGAGCACTGACTCCTTTTCCCTAGCCAGCCCCTTCCCCCTTATATACTGAGCATGATGTCATATGATAGCAAATATCCCTTTGGCTAGTTCAGGTCAACTATCCTGGCTGTGTCCCCTCCAAGCTTCTTTTGAAAATTAACTCTATCCCAGCTGAAAACCAGGACCATGTATTAACAAAATAAAGTCTCTTATGTGAAAAGGAAGCATCCATTCTGCAAGATCAGAAATTCAACATCAAGACACTGACCAGAATTAGTAAAATAATTACAGCGTTCACTTTATTTGCATCATAGCCTCTCCACTGTTTTCTCCATTTTGTCTATTTACATGCCTTTGTACACATTGGGTAAAATTTATTTATCACCACTTTTGACTAGTAACCAGAATATTGGTTCCTGTAATGGTGGGACCTTACCAGTGACAAATAACAAGCGATTCTGTTAGAAATAACCCAAGGGAGACACAATAACTCTTTTGAAATACATAATACTTCCAATCGCATCATAGGATGGGATTAAACCGTTCTTTGTATCTGCTAGATACAGAACTGTAATGGACTTAAAATCATACGGAGAGAGAACCGGATCAGATGCTTCTATATGTTTTTCCCATAAAAGTAAATATATATGAAAATAGATTTTCTCCTTCCTGAATGGGTGTTTCGTTCTGAAACAGGTTACGCAAATAACTGTCAATTGGTTTTAGTATAACTGCCCATATCTGACCTAAAGATGATCCTTCTAGACATTTTTTAGCACATTTTGTATTAGACAGAGTTGTGCGCAGCCACTTTGTCCTACATCCAGCAGCTGAGGATGCTGTGAATGACCAAGTGCCTAAAATACTGTTGCATTATTACTGACCTTTCTGCTTCCACAAAAGAACAAAGATTACTTACAGTATCCAGAGCAAACAGCTTTTTGTCAGTCTGACACAATTTCAAGCTATTAGTGTCCCTAACTGAAATTTATTAAAAATATCCTCTTAATGAAAAGACCTAAATCTGCTGCAACTATTATACAAAAGGAGAAGAAATAGTTGTAGATAATTAGTTATCTGTAATACTACGTACAACTAGATCACGGAACCACTTTTGATGAATTGTGTTGGTAACTGTGAGGTACAACACCCCATTTATTTACCTGAAGAATAGTGACCAAGATCAGTGGATACATTTTCCTTTTGAAGCTTTCTTTTTATACTGATGGAAAATAAATACTACTTTTTACAGTAAGCCATAGATTTCAATACAATTTTTTAAGTACCAGGATCAAACTACTCTATATTACTTGATTTTTCCTCTGTGAACTGCAAATACATTTTACAAAAATGACTAACTGAAAACAATGTTGTAGAACCACTTCTTGCATTAGAAAATAAAACGTCAACAAGATTAAAAAGTTAAGTTGATTAAAGTATAGTAATGGGAAAAACAGCAAAAAACTCTAAATTATATATTGTCAGAAAGATCACATCCCACAAATGTGAAGATTGTCAGGCTAGATCCAATCTAAATTTAATTCTCATCCTGTTAAAAAAGCATAAATTTATTCTTTGTTATTATACATGCACAAAAATAAAATCCCAAAGTTTTATCAGTTATCTCTCATTGTCCATATCATATGAAGCTGAAGTTAAAAATAACCATGGATTTATAGCAGCTGGACTGGAGTTCAGTATTTACATGTCAAAGCAAGTTCTTACTCAAAGATCTGGCTGCAGATATGAAAATCAAGGTCATCAATACCTGCATCCAATGAATATCAACTGTCCTTACTCATTAGAAAGAAGGGGATGTGGTTTAAAAATGTTTACTCTGCAAATTTTTTAGTATGAAGAACAGTATGAGGCTGTCACATCTTTGCTGGTATTGTATATAAGCCCTATGGAAGAACTTAGTTTTTTACTAAGGCTATTTTAAAATGTTCTGTTTAAGTCTAGTGAAGTGTATCTTAACAGTCTTTTTCAGCACCACTCAATACATCAGAAGACTGTTTCAGAATCCATACGTTCTATTGGTTGTGATTCTTCTTTTGATTTGTAGACTAAAATGCATTCATGGACAAGTAGTAGAGATTTATCAAACTGCTGCCTACTTAAATACATCTTCTCTTGTGTTTTTGCAAGCCACAGTCACTCTCCTTCTAATTCAAACCTCTCAAATCCAGACCTATTTTTAAGCCACACATTCATTAACTTAATAATGAGTTTCGCTCCAATCCAAGCATTACAGTTCTTTTATGTTGTCTCTTACACTCTGCCTAAAGTTTCAAATTGAAGTTAAATTTTAATAAATTACAGTCAAGTTAGGACTTACATTCAACTGTCTAATTTTCTACCTACCATAGTTTATATTTGACCAAAGTTAAAGTTGCAATCTAGAACTACTTGTACCAATAAGTTAAAGAAACTAATCTCTCAAAAATATCAGTGCAATACTTCGATATCAACACTGCTTCATACCCTTCTAGCATGCTTTGAAGGATTGACATAAAATACACTAAGCTTATGAAAATGAAATTCATTTTTCCATTTCTCCATGAAAAAAAGCACTTGCTTTTTTCCCCTCATATCTACAGATTTCTAATCCTTTCCTTACTCAAAAGTGAAACATTTGTGGAAATCCTGCTTAGTCCAAAATTTCGTAATATTTAGTTGCTGTAAAACTTTTAAGTTTCTGTACTTTGTTCTTCCAGATAATATTCATCACCAGACTTTTGGTACTGATCAGATGCTCCATTAGAACATCACAGTCCAATTCAATTTGCATTCTTTATCAAATGTCCCAAGTATAGACCAATGGCCTTCTCTCATAGCTGGCCTCCACATTCCTTATTCTGATACCATTTCTCCATCTTCCTCAGCCCTTCATGTCCTATCACATTGCACGGTGCTGTCAGGCAGAACTAACACCTCACCAAGATCATGGGGTTTGGTTTGGTTTGGGGGGGTTTTTTTGGGGGGGTGAGAGGGATTAACTTTTCTCTTGGTGTGTGGGAAAGGGGCAGGAAAGAGGATCACATACAAAAAGACGAAACTATCTAGTCATACCAAGAACAAAGAGGAGAGATTGCTCTCAACTTAGGTAGTCATACATTTGTGCTTCTATTTCCAGACACATAATAACAAGCAAAGTTTTCTTTGTTAAATCAACATAAGTGTAAATTTAAAAAATCTCTGGGGTTGTGGGTTGCTGGTTTTGTTTTGTTGGTTTTTTTAAATAAAGAAGGGGAAGCAATACTGTATCAAAAAGTAGCTTCACATTTATGGAGGAAGCATATCTTCCGTAAAACCCCTCATCAGAAGAACTCAAGTTAATATACAGAATGTTTCTTCCCATGTGAACCATTACATATTCTAAGTAAGACAATCCAATTCAAAAACAAATTAATAGAAGAAGGAAACACCCATTGAGAAGAACCACATCAACAACATGCCAAGCTAGATGCAGAAAGTTGTCTAATCCTTTTTTAATCACATTCCATCACAAGCATCCCCAACATTTCACTTCCATTATTTTGAATGAAACCTAAAACAGTTTCCCAAAATCATATGTTCAACCATAGGAACTCTAAAACAAAAGGTTGTAAATAGAGTAGAATAGAAAAAAAAGATAATTTAAAAACTTAAAGCCAGCATCCACAAATCAAGCTGCATGGATCAAATCAAAATTAAACATAAAGATTGATATCAATGTTACAGTTAGAATTCCTGAAGAGTTAGCCTTTTTTTAAAAAAGCACAGGTAAACTAACGTGCTCTTTTCTGTACAGATAAACTCCATTGATACAGCAAAAATTACTAGAAGGCAGCAAGGAAGAAAGCCTAAAGCACACTGGACAGAAGGAGGTGCAAACAATTAAAAATACATACATCTTCTGGCTAACAAACTTACACCAGGGTGTCTATCTCCCATTACAGATCATCCTCACAAAGTTAAAAGATTAAAGAGTTAAGAGAACATTTAAAAAATACTACTAAAAAAATCTCTTTTGACAATTTAGCACTAGAAAATAAAGCAAACTGTTCCGCACTACAGTTGTTCTGCATTCTCTTAGCATTACCTTGTACAGATCAGTGAACTCTACTGAAAAACAGAACTACATAAGATACATAATCAATGAAAAAAAAAAGAAGAAAAAAGGTACAATCATTCACTAATGCATGCACATTCATTAAATGGAAAACCTTGAAACATGCACATCTACAGATCCATTAATTTTAATCCATTAAGAAATAAGAATATGATTAATCTTTGCAATATGTGTTAATGATGTTACCTGACAGGATTACTAGTCAAGGACACACGGAGAGATTCTAAGCAAGTGACTAGTCTTTCATCTGTTGACCCAGATTTTAATTCCTGAATAAACTCTTGGGGTGAAATCTTCCGTCTGTTCTTGAGACTTCCCTGAAATACAGAAAATACATTCATTTTTTATTTGACACATATAGAACTTGGATAGATTATTAATGACTAACCTTCATTTCTGTTCCTCGAAAAAAGAGGGGAAAAAAAAACCCCACAATTTAGTCCTAAACTTGTAACTGTTTGTTGTTCATCTATTATATATGCTAAATGTTTACTATATTTTTGTCAATTTATGAACAAATTTATAATCAATAGTCAAAAGCAGCAAGCATCAAATGTAGAAATGTATCACGCACACTCAGTGAAATACAATTGATGTAATGAATGGATACTGTTTATTCACTGAAAACGTCTTAATTTTCAATACTCAACAGAAGGAAAGAACCAATTGTGGGGTGCCTGAAGAGATCACAGGGCACGTGTCCAGAAGGGTGACTGCAGTCATATGAGAATACAGAGGGAAGAACCAGTGCACCAGAAGAGTACCCAAGATGTTATTTCAGTAACTTGAATTCTTGCAGATAATGTTGTAAAACATTTTTCCCTTAAAGATTCTTCAGATGATGAATAAATGAAACTGGGATTATAAAAATAGACTAGCTTTGGCTTTAAGGGCTAAAGCAAAAGAACTAAAAATACGAAAAACGTAGAGAAAGACGAAAAGAGAAAAAGAGGAGGGAAAAGAGAGGAAAAAGAAAAAGACTTCTTTAAAACCATTGAAGTTCTAAAGATAAATCCCGGCTCCTCATTTGTTGTATTTGCCATCTGTAAGAATCCAGTGCAACACACATATGACTATACATGCAGTAACATAAGGACACTTACTCAACCTTTGGGTTTGGACTTTGCCCTGCTTTTTGGGTTTTGCTCTTTTTGGCAGGTGGGGAAGCAAATGGGGACATGGAGAACAGGGAGATAGAATGCAAAATGCAACACTGCAAAAGTAGTTCTGTGCAAACAAAATATTTTCTGTTCCAACTAATATAGGTTGAAAGACACTGAATGTGACTCATCATTGTATCTGTGGTGTCAAATGTCGCTTAAAATAAATTCAAGATATTAATGACTCTTCTCAAGGATATATAGTATCCATTGTTTTAAACAAAGCAATGGTTATACTGAACTAACGAAGCTCTACAATTTGCAATTAAAATGGCAAATCTAAGGCGTTGACCCTATTCTTAAGGGTCTTTTTTTTTTTTTTTTTTAAGTAGGGGCAAAGACAAAATTTGTAGATGGTGGAAACTAAGTCTATTCCATCTAATATCCATTTATGACATGAAGAAGTATAGATATATTTCTACAAAAATATCTAAATTTAAAAAGAGAGGCATACAATGGAGTATACACCCTATATGTGACAATTCACTGGAAAGACTCTTTTTGAGAGCAGAAGCACAACTATTCTGTCATGTAGCACTAAGGAGAGTTAGTAACTAATACTTGCTTATCTAGTGGCTTAAGTCAGGAGTTGAAGAGTATTAGACTTGCAGTGCAATAACAACTTGAAATTATCCACTGTAAATGGTGAGGCAGTCTCATTATGTTATTATACAGAGCTTCATACAGAAGATGTTTTCTCACTTTGTTAGATTCTCAGGAAGTGTTGAAAAATAAACTTTTCTCCTCCTGAAGTAGATGATGAAATAGTTTCTAGCAGAGAGGTGAAGTTAAAAACCAGGAAGAGTGGCTGACAAACCAGACTGTTGTGTTGCCATTCAGAGGGACCTCCACAGACAACAGAAATGGGCAGAGGAATTGCAGGGAGGTCCAGAACAGGAAACACTAAATCCTGAGCCTGGGGAGGAATAATCCCATGCACCGACACGTGTTGGGGCCACCGAGCTGGAAAGTAGGTTTGCAGGTAAAAAAATGGGGGTTCTGGTTGATGACAAGTTGACCAAAAGGAAGTGCATCACCAGCTGGTTAAAGGGATGTTCCCTCCCCTCAGCTCAGCAGTGGTGAGACACATCTGTAGTACTGTGTCCAGTTCTGGGCTCCACCTCAAAAAACATCTAGTTGGCAAACTTATTCCATAAACAATTTACACTCTTGACCAAGATGGTATTTGCTTGCACTTCCATAAGGCAAGAAAGCTCAGCCCCCCCTACAGCTTTGACACAGCTGTACCTAAAAAGGAATGAAAAACACAACTGGAGACAATCTCCAAGCCAAATGCAGAAGATCCTAAGCAAAACAAAAAAAGCATATATAGCATTAAGAACTAAATATCAGGCTTGATAAAACATGAAAGCTAGTATACCGTGAGCTGCCCAAAACACTACAAATTCACTGGATAAGGCTAACTGGTGACAAAGGTTTCTGTATGGTTGTTCAAGAGCTTATATACTGAGCACATCCATCCTGTCACAATAACTCCCAAACATTTAAAGACTAGACAATCAGGGGAATTTGAGTTATGGCTGTGATATAAGGAGAAAATTGTTACAACTGTGGTTTAACAGATAATCAGAGCCATGCCTATATGCATGTGCAGCACATACAATTCCCATGTGATCCTGGATCTTGCCAGCTAGTATCTCTATAGATGAGATAAGGGACTGACTAGAGACAAGATGACCAAACTAATACCTAGCAGCCTTCACGACAAAGTATTTAACTAAAAGTTACAGAAGATCTCTAGTCGGAAATTTCAAAAAGTCCCAGAAATTCTCCTGGCAGCTCCTGCTGTGCATAGACTAGTTGATAAGCACTACTTGTATGCCTAAGCATATGGATTAATATCCTGTGTGGAAAATCTGTCATTTCCAGTGACTTCCCCCAGCAGCTCCTGCTGCAAAATTGACCAAGCTGTATATAACTAAGATACTTATAAGCAGTTAGTAAAATTGCTTGCTTTTGATGCAGAAACAGTCATATAAGAAAGTCATATGGACAGGCCATACAGTTAAGATGGTTAGAAGATATTTTGAAAATAATTTAACATAAACAATAGCAATGTGTGCAGTGTGAAAGGTCACATGGGATAAGAGCCCAGCCAGACTATAAGAATCCACTAGAATGGTATTTCGGTGTTTCATCTGACATATCCGAAGACAGTGTCACAAGCAATGGAGACTCACATCAACATCCAGACAGTAACCAGCCATCCCGTTGCAGACTCAGTTCCCCACCTGAACGTTACATTTTGCAAAAGATGCCAATGAACTGCGAACGTCTGTACAACATACCCACAGTACCAAGTGCCACTTATTTGTCATTACACAAAGGTTCTGCAACATAATAAGAATATGATACATCTGCCAGTCCTTAAATAAAATGAGAGCTGCATTAGGTATCAATTGTGAAACTGACTATATTAGCTATATTTCTGCATGGGAAAAGCTGCTTAAGTTCAAAATGCTCGAGTTAACCGAGAAACAGGAAATATCTTGAGGCATCAGTGCCTCTAGAAATTTAATTGCTCAACTGAAGAACAACTGGTCTGTGAGCAGATGCAGTATGAAGTCAGCATTAATTAATTCAGTTAAAACATTACAACGGAGTAAGCTGCACAACAAAAACAAAATCTTGTGAAGAAAACTCACTTTAAAAAACAGTTTGTGTGTGTTCAACATACAGAACAGTAAAACTTATGGTAGAGTAACATTATAGCAATGTTGCTTTTATTTCCACTTGGGTATAACTCCCTAACATGGAAATTGACTTTGGCAGTAGTGAGAACAGCTGTGTTAGGTGTGACCAGGTGGACAATCTGCTCAGACTGGTGGCAGAGCTAAGAGAGGAAAGTAGAAAGGTTAAGGAGCATCAGGGAGGCTGAGAAAGAGACAGACCAGACAGACCATGCTCTGCCCTCCCTGAAACAGAAACAGGAACGGCCACCAGAAAAAAAAAAAAACACAAGATCAAGGGGATCCTGTATCCTCCCCCCAACAGGCTGAAGACAGTAGCTTAAAGGAAAGGAGTGAATGGAGGTAAGACCACACTTAGTGCAGCAGGCGAACCTCCTCCTTGCCCACCTCACCCTCCCCAGGTGCCTCTGTACAACAGGTATGAGGGTCTGGATGAGGAAGGCCAGTCAACAGATAATGTGGATGATGGTCCATCTACACCAGAGGTGTCACCAAGGTCAGAAAGGCCCACCCCTCACAGAATCACAGAACGGTAGGGGTTGGAAGGGACCTCTGGAGATCATCTAGTCCAACCCCTCTGCTAAAGCAGGATCACCTACAGCAGGTTGCACAGGATCACGTCCAGGCAGGTTTTGAGTATATCTCCAGAGAAGACAACTCCACAACCTCTCTGGGCAACCTGTTCCAGTGGTCTGTCAGTATCAGTGTCTCCTCCTATCACAGCTGCTTCCACGAGGAAGAAAAGGAGGGTTATAGTTGTAGGCGACTCCCTTCTAAGGGGTACAGAGGGTCTGAAATGCTGGACAGACCCTCCTCTTAGGGAAGTCTGCTGCCTCCCTGGGGCCTGGGTTAAGGACATTACTAAGAAACTTCCTAGCCTGGTACAGCCCTCAACTATTACCCACTACTACTTTTCCATGTGGGTGGTGATGAAGGCACAACGTGTAGTCCAAGAGCAATCAAAAGAGACTTCAGGGCCTTGGAATGGTTGCTGAGGGAATCTGGTGAACAGGTTATTTTTTCCTCTCTCCCTCCAGTTGCGGGTAGTGACATTGGAGGAAATATATCAATACACGGCTCCATGGCTGGTGTCATCATCACAGTTTTGTGGTTTTTGATAATGGGATGGCCTACACAGCATCAGGCTTGCTGGCATCAGATGGGATTCATCTTTCTCAAAGGGGGAAGAGGGTCTTTGCCCAGGAGCTTGCAGAGCTCATTGACAGAGCTTTGAACTAGGCTTGAAGGGGGAGGGGGATAATATCAGGCTTGCCTGCAACAAGCTGTAGGCTTATATACCAAGATTAGAGGGACAGAGTGCCAGTGAGGGCCCTCAGCCTGTTGCTCAGAAATGCGCTGGCTACACTGCAGCGCACTTGGAAGACTAACAGAAATGAGCCAGGGGCTCCTGAGGTAATAGGAACCAACAGGGAAACGATGGTGAAGTACCTCAAAGGAATTCCAACCACTCCAGCCAGTAAGTCAGCTTCATCAGGGGCCCAACTGACATGCCTCTATGCAAACGCAAGTAGCATGGGGAATAAACAAGAGGAGTTAGAGACGTGGGCATGCCTGCAGGGCTATGAACTTCTTGGCATCACGGAGATGTGGTGGGATGGCTCCTATGACTGGAATGTTGGAATGGAAGGATACAGGCTCTGCAGGAAGGACAGGTAGGGGAGACAAGGAGAGGGTGTGGCTCTCTGTATCGATGAAAACTGGCCAGTATACAAGGATCACCTCCTCCAAGCTCTGGAGCGCTGCATCCCAACAAAGAGGAAGTCAGGCAAAAACGCCCGGAGGCCTGCATGGATGAACAAGGAGCTCCTGGACAAACCCAAACAAAAAAAAGGAAGCCTACAGAGGGTGGAAGCAAGGGCAGGGAGCCTGGGAGGAATACAGAGAAACCATTCAAGCAAGTTAGGAAAGCTAAGGCCCTGACAGAATTACATCTGGCCAAGGACATCAAGGGCAACAAGACAAGCTTCTACAGGTAGGTATGTCAGTGATAAAAGGAAGACTAGTGAATATGTGGGCCCTCTCTGGAAGGAAACAAGAGACCTGGTTACCCGGGATATGGAGAAAGCTGAGGTACTCAATGACGTTTTTGCCTCAGTCTTCACCAGAAAGTGCTCAAGCCACACCGCCCAAGTCACAGAAGGCAAAGGCAGGGACTTTGAGAATGAAGAACCGTCCACTGTAGAAGATCAGATTCGAGATCATCTAAGGAACATGAAGATGCACAGGTCCATGGGACTTGATGAGGTGCATTCATGGGTCCCAAGGGAACTGGCAGATGAAGTTGCTAAGCCACTCTCCATCATATTTGAGTTCAGTCAAGCGGTAGTTCAGTCAAGTTCCCATTGACTGGAAAAGGGAAAACATAACCCCCATTTTTCAGTCAAGTGGTAGTTCAGTCAAGTTCCCACTGACTGGAAAAGGGAAAACATAACCCCCATTTTTAAAAAGGGAAAAAAAGAAAGACCTGGGGAACTAGAGGCCAGTCAGTCTCATCTCTCTGCCTGGCAAGACTGTGGAGCAAATCCTCCTGGAGACTATGCTCAGGCACATGGGAAATAAGGAGGTGACTGGTGACAGCCAACATGGCTTCACTAAGGGCAAATCATGCCTGACAAATTTGGTGTCTCCTTCAACAACGGGGTTACAGCGTTGGTAGATAAGGGAAGACTAACTGATGTCATCTACCTGGATTTGCGCAAAGCATTTGACACTGTCCTGCATGACATCCTTGTGTCTAAATTGGAGAGACGTGGATTCAATGGATGGACCACTCAGTGGCTAAGGAACTGGCCG